TCATTATTTCAGATTTTGACTATTTACCTTCTGACAGATTGCCTGACCTCACTATTCCCTTTTATATTTTATAATAAATTTTTCATACAACAAAAGCAATCTTTAAAAATGTAAATTATATTAAACTACACCTATTTTAAAAACATATAATGGCTTCCTATTCCTTTTAGAATAAAATCAAAATACTCTTCCATGGCATAGGATGCTCCCCATGATCGAATTATTTTGTGTAGCTCACTCCACTGGTTTATTATAGCTTTCTTTTCATTTCTTGAGATTATCAGGACCTTTGTATTTGCTATTTTCTCTCTGGAAGCTTCTCACACACTCTTTATGTCAATGGGCCCTTCTGATTATTCTATTTTCTGCTCAAATATCACTTGCTCCACAAGGCCTTCCTTGTCACCCTTCCTAAGGTAACATCATCTACGGCACCACATTTATCCTTTATCAGTCATACTAATTCTGTTTATTTGTTTCTTCTACACCACTTATTATGTTCTGTGTTTATAAAATTGATTTTTTACCCTCTGGCGTTCCATTGAAATCTAAATTGATGAGAATTCTGTTCTATATTCATCAACATATCTTCAGTGTTTACTCAGTTCCTAAACTATGATAAATGCTCCACAAATATTTTTGAAGTAGTTGAATGAATAATTATTCCATATCTATCTGTCAAACAACTTTGAGGCCTGAATCAAATATTTCTCATAAACGTGAGGTCACAATGGCAGGAAATCATCGCTGTTTGAGGCCAGTCCCCTACTTTCTCCCTGAATTATACATAAACAAGCCAAGAAGGATCCAGAAATTAATGTTTATTACTGCTCTTTGACTTGCTATAATTCTAAATTACCAGAGCTTAGGTGATATCTGACATAAAACACAGGGGAATTATGAACACTCAGGCCTCTAAGATGTGGGTCCAAAATATCTAAAGAGAGACTAGTCTTTATACTAAGAACTATAAAGTTTACACAACTAAAGTGCCAAGATGACATGAGAGTCAGCATGCACCCAAAATTTTTATAGGACAATTGGAAATGTTGCCTATAAAAGATGAGGACCAGGGTGAGGATCTCAGGAAGGAAAGGTAGAAATCTTCCCACTTGTAAAGGTTCATTATTATGATGAAAAAGCAGGACAGATAGAAGTAAGGGGTTAGGGTGCGTATGACTGAATTAGAAAGAGATTAGAGAAGTGCGGCCTATGTGGAATTAAGGAAATTTTATCCTTAAATCTGTCCTTTGAATCTCACAGTGTCTACTTCTATGATGTCAGTAGGTATATTGAGAGCAGTAACAGATTTAACAAATACTGTAATCTAGTCTCTTTTATGCTCTACCCTGGGACTTTATATAAAGAGACTGGTGCTGGTAACAGCACTGATTTGAGTTGGGACCATGGAAGTCATCCAGGCTTTTCCTTCTCTCTAGTTCCTCTATTTAACAATCTTCAATTTCTGCCAATTGCACTTCTCAATTTTTCTCAAGGCTGTTCTCTCCTGATATTGTATTCTCTGTCACCCTGATTCATCTTTATTCTATGTTTCCTGGAGTGTTGTAAATTGCCTCCTTTCCAGGCATGCACAAAGATATGTTTCACTTTGCTGCCAGAGCAATCAAAACACATCTAAACACTTTACTTCCTCGCAAAAGACTTTCAATAGTTTTTCATTGGATAAAATAACATTGGATGTAAGGCTCTTTGGGAACTGTTAGGTTTTTTTGTTTGTTTGTTTGTTTGTTTGTTTGTTTGTTTGTGTTAGAGTGTCACTCTGTCACCCAGACTGGAGTGCAGTGGCCGCTCCCAGCCACCGCAGCCTCGACCTGCTGGGCTCCGGCAATCCTTCCACCTCAGCCTTCCGAGTAGATGGAATTACAGGTGCGCGCTACCACGCGCGGTTAATTTTTTTGATTTATTGTAGAGATGAGGTCTAGCCAAGTTGCCCAGGCAGGTCTCGAACCCGCGGGGTCAGGCAATCCGCTCACCTCAGCCTCCCAAAATGCGGGATTACAGGCTGAGCCACCGAGCCCGGCTGGGAACTGTTTTAATGTAGATAATATCTAGCTCAACTTCTCTTCACCCCATATCTAATGCTTCACAAATATAGAAAGGCCTATAATTCCCCAGACACCTGCTATTTCATTCATCTGTGTCATTGATAATGCAACTTCCAAAGCCTGGAACTCTTTTCTATTACCCTTACCTTGTTGTATCTAGTCATGTTTTAAGACTAAGTTTTCATGCTTCGTTCTCCAGAAAACGTTTATCTACAAACCTGATTGGGTCAAGTGCCCCCTCTTTGGGCATACTGCCTCCTCTTTGCTCTTACCCTCTTGTGGATATCAAATTACTTCTAGACAAGTAAACACATACGTTTTATGCAATATAGTATGTGTTTGGAGGTCAAACAGTAGCTTATTTTGTATCAGCCCAATACTGGATTCAGTAAATGATGTATGTTGAACTGAGCTGTCTCCAGCAACATAAGCAAAACAATACCTTAGATTCTGCATCCTCTAATGTGCAAGGTGCATGACTAAAAGATAAGGTCTTACCAAGGCCACAGGGGTTTACAACGTGGCTACAGCCTTGCTGCCTATAAGTGGAAGAGAAACATATTCTCCCACTATAAAAAGGAAAAATTAAGACAGTAGTGTTCTGCCTGTTTTCAGAACATGTACATGGTTTTGAGTGCTCAGTATGAGTCCTTTGCATAGATGATTTACTTTTCTTTACTTTTAATGTTTCTTTATTATACATAAAGTACTAAAATACAAGAAACTCAAAGCAAACAATGCCTACAGTCCCATTATTTCATTATTTCCTGCACTTTAATTTTTTTCTTGTTAACTTTCAGTTCTGATTCTTAAATTTTCACTTTAAAAGTGTGCCATAATATTAAAGATACTCTACATTTTCACTTAACAGTATATTTAAAATATTTTTCATTTTGTTAAAAAATAATTTTATACATTCCAACCCTCATTTCTCTCTCTTCATTACACTAGGGTAAAAGACAACTGAATTCCAAGTTTTGCTTTCTTTTTAAAAAATTTTTTATTCTGCATATGTGGGGTACAATTCAGAGTTAGGTACACAAATGCTAATTATGCAGGTATCCTTGTTGATGAAGTGTGCCCCTCCCTCCTCTGGCAGTTTCCCACTACTCCAATCCCTTTCTTATAGTATTATGATAGATGTTCAAGTTCAGTTTATGATTGAGATCATGTGATACTTGGTTCTTTGTTTCTGTGATAGATCACTCAGTATTATAGCCTCTAAGTTCATCCAAGTTGCTGCGAAGTTCATAATTTTGGCCTTCTCCATGGCTGTGTAATATTCCATCATGTATATGTGCCACATTTTTTTTTTTACCCAGTCCTATTTGGATGGGGAGCACAGTTGGTTCCATTGTTTTGCTATTGTAAATAATTAAGTTTTACTTTCAGATGCCATAAACAGTTTTCTCAGTATTTGTTTTAAATTGGGAGTTCCCATACCCCCAACAAATCTTTCCTCATTCTTTTCAGTCTCATGCTGATGATGTAAATGAAAATAGATCATTCCTCAAGAACAAATTTAATTAATGTGATCTGTGACAATATTTCTAGTTTTTTTCAAAAACAGGTTATATTGTCTTTTATTGATTCATACCTATGAAACTATGATTGTTGTTAATCCCTGCATGCAATGCTTAAAAGTAGAGGAATTTTATATTTAATTAAAATTAAATTCCTACACATAAAGATCACATTATGCTAAATGGGACTATTTGTTTTCTGATGTTTTTGTTGTTTTTGTTGTTTATAACATATGTTAAAATATGGATACATTTCTAACCAAATCATATGATCATGGTGTAAAGAGCCTGATTTCCAGTTGGGCACAGTGGCTCATACCTGTAATCCCAGCACTTTGGGAGGCAGAGGCAAGAAGTTTGCCTGAGCTCAAGAGTTCGAGACCAGTCTGAGCAACATGGTGAGAACTCGTCTCTACAATAAATAAATAAAAATATTAACTGAGCGTCGTGGTGCATGTCTATGGTTCCAGCTACTTGGAAGGCTGAAGCAGAAGGATTACCTGAGCCCAGTAGGTTGAGGCTGCGGTGGCTGTTAGTGTGCCACAGCACTCTAGCCTGGGTGACAGAGTGAGACTCCGACTCAAAAAAAAAAAAAAAATCAGTTGTTTTCCACTCCCCGTCCTTGTTCCAGAGTCCACACAATATGAACCATCTTTGGATAGAGTTTGTTCAAAAGATTGATACAAGTTTCCAACTTAGGTTTGAGCACCTGTCCAAATCCTTTAGCTCAGTAGCAGTACTGATGCCATTAGACTGATTGTGGTTGTTAGATATGGGTTAAGTACATGGATCACAGAAGCAGACAGAGTACTTGAGTCCACATCTATCTGGACAAACTATTGTATCTGTCTAAATCTCAGTTTTCTCAACTGTAAATTGAGGGAAATTTATAATACCTGCATCATAGGATTTATGTGAAAATTAAATGGAGAATCATAGTGGTTTTGGAAACAAACTTTCTGGATTCAAATCCTGGTCCTGCATCTTCTTAATTGCGTGACTTTGGCCATTCCACTTAGCATCTCTGTGTCCAGGTGATTCATTTGTGAAATAGAAATAATGGCACCACTTGATAGGGTTGTTGTGAGGAATAAATGAGTTAACATATGTAACATGCTTAGAATAAAACCTGGGGCAGAATAAGCAAAAATTATTGTTTGAAAAACAAATTAAGTAAAGAACTTTTCCTTTATTTGGCAATCTACAGGAGTTTAATGATAGTTATCATACAACTATTTTTACTACGGAAGTCAAAAAGTGTCTCCCAATTGGTTTACAAGTATTTAAAATGAGAGTTACAGCAAAGAAATATGATGCTTTATTATAATCAGTAAGCAGTATTTGGTAGGTTCTAAGGGTGATATTGATAAATGAAAATTTTATAGGTCATTTGAAATGCTAAGAAAGGATCCTAAGAATATATTCTGACAGTTGCCCTTCTTAGGGCCCCCTTTACATCTCTGTTCCTAAAACTGTAGATGAAGGGATTCAACATGGGAATCACCACTGTGTAGAACACAGACGCCATCTTGTTCTGGTGCGTTGAGTAGCTAGACTTGGGCATCACATAAATGAAGGTGATAGTTCCATAGTAGAGAGTGACTGCAGTGAAGTGGGAGGTGCAGGTGGAGAAGGCCTTGCGGCGCCCCTCAGTGGAGTGCATCTTCAGGATGGTGATGAGGATGTAGATGTAGGAGATGGCTATAACACACACTGTGACCACAATGATGGAGCCAGAGGAAATGGAAGGGATAATTTCAATAATGGAGCTATCTGAGCAGGAAAGTTTCAACAAAGGAGAAAAATCACAGAAAAAATGATCTATTTGGTTTGGTCCACAGAAAGACAGGCTCAATAAACAACTAGCAAATGTCCAAGCATTCACACATCCACCCAGATAGGAAGTCCCCAGTAAGAGAATGCAGACTCTTGGGGACATGTGGGTAGAATACAATAAGGGTAAGCAGATGGCCACATAGCGATCATAGGCCATAGCTGCCAGTAGGAAGCACTCAGCTGTCCCAAACATGACTACAGCGCAGAACTGGGCTTCACAGCCAGAGACAAGAAGGGCCATTCCATGTCTAAGGAATACTATAAGCATTATAGGCATGACTGATGTGGAAAGTCCAATGTCCACAAAAGCCAAATGACTGAGGAACAGGTACATGGGGGTGTGAAGCTGTGAATAGTTTCTTTTTAAAATGATTATGCAGACATTGCCTGTTAAGGTGACAACATAGATTACTAGAAATAGCACAAAGAAGAAGACACAAAGTATAGGATCTTTGGTTAACCCCAAAATGGTAAACACTGTCACAGTGGTGTGGTTTCCAACCTTCATCTCCTCTATGAATTTTTCTTGTCTAAATAAATATAAATATTCATTTGTTATATGATTTCATTTCATACATTTCCAGTTTTCTTTTTTCCTCAGACTCATTCACAGTGACTTCATCCTCTGCCCAATAATCTGTACATATTGGTGTTCTACAGGACTATTTTTTGTTTTCATGTCTCTTCCTCTGCATAAAAATAGTTCAACCTCACTCTCTGGAAAATTCGTTATCTTCTTTTCTTCATAAAATCTTTATATAAAAAACCTCTTTTATCTGGACGCCTAGACAGATCTCTCAGTCAAGGTAGAGATTCATATTGTCAATGATCGATATGGTGTCTCCAGCTGGAAATTCCACAAATGCCTCAAACTCATTCTCCTCCATATCAAAATCATTTTTTTTTTGACAACTCTTCCTGTTTTTTTTAAATATGGGAAATGACACCACCATCCACCCAGTCTCTCATGTCTGCAACCTGGGAGTCATCCCAGCCTTTTTTCTCTTGTATCACATCGAATAAAATCCTACTGATTTTTTCTACAACTTAGCTCCCAATTTTATCTCTCTCTTTTTCACTATTTCCAGTGTCCCTACTTTAATCAAGGTCTTAGTCTTTTTTTTTCCTCTTTAATTACCTGTTTACCTCCCTTGCTTCTTTCTTGCCTCCTTATAATTCATAACACATTTGCCTGAGTTATATCTTGCTAAATAAGCATCGGATGATGCCAAAAGAATTGTTTAAGCCTTTCAGTGCTTTTTCAGGCCTTCATAATAAAACCTAACTTGCAATATCCTCTTTGATTTGCCCACTGCATATGACTCTGCTTGTTTCTTTGGATGTTTCCATCTACCTCTCACACTGACACAATCTTCCTGAACAATTTAGAGTCTTCTCAACCTAGACATAATAAAGGTCATATGTAAAAAGTCCACAGTTAACATTATATTCAATGGTGAAAAAGTGAAAGCTTTCCCTCTAAGACTGGGAAGACAAAGATGTCCACTCTCTCACCACTTCTATTCATATCAGTACTGGAAATCATAACCAGAGTAATTGAATGAATGAATGAATGACATCAAAATTAAAAAGGAAGAAGTACAATTTCCCCTATTTGTAGATGACATGATCTCATATGTACAAAACCCTAAAGACTCCATCAGAAAATTGATAGAACTAATAAACAAATTTGGTAAAGTTGCAGAATTACAAAATCAACTAAAAAAAAATCAGTACTGTTTATATAAACTAACAATGAGCTATTTGAAAGGAAATTAGAAAAACAATTTCACTTACCATAGAATCTTAAAGAATAAAATGTCTACGAATAAGCCTAACTGAGTATGTGTAAGACATACACTGAAAACTATAAAACATTGCTGAGGCCGGGCTCGGTGGCTCAGCCTGTAATCCCAGCAATTTGGGAGGCCGAGGTGAGTGGATTGCCTGAGCCCACTGGTTCGAGACCTGCCTGGGCAACTTGGCGAGACCTCATCTCTACAATAAATCAAAAAAATTAGCCGGGCATGGCAGCACGCGCCTGTAGTTCCAGCTACTTGGAAGGTTGAGGCAGAAGGATCGCCGGAGCCCAGCAGGCTGCGGCTGCGGTGGCCGGGAGCGGCCACTGCACTCCAGTCTGGGTGACAGAGTGAGACTCCAACTCAACAAACAAACAAACAAAAAACATTGATGAAAAAAATTTTAAAAACACAAACAAGTAGAAAGACATCCTCTGTTCATGGATTCAAAGAATTGATCATTATGAGTAAAATATCCATACTGCTTCAACAAAATACGAGCAAACCAAATCCAATAGCACATTAAAATAACAATACAACACAATTAAGTAGGTTTTATTCCAAGGATGCAAGAAAAGTTCAGCACACATAAATCAACAAATTCAATAATAAGCAAAATTAAAAACAAAAACCATGTGATCATCTTAAAAGATGCAGAAAAAAATCCCTTGATAAAATTCAGCAAGCCTTCATGATAACAACTCTTAACAAACTAGGCATAGAAGGAACAGGAACATACCTCAAAACAATAAAAGTAACATACAACAAACCCATAATCAACATAATACTGAATGGAAAAAAAATGGAAAGCATTATCCCTAAGAACTAGAACAAGACATGGAAGACCACTTTCATCACGTCTTAGTCAAAGCAATCAAGCAATAGAAAGAAATAAAAAGGCATCCAAACTGGAATAGACAAAGTCAAATTATCTCTGTCACTGATGATACTAGGTTGGTGCAAATGTAATTGTGGGTTTTGCAAGTTGAAATTTGCCATTTGATAGTGGAATACATTCCTAATAAATGAGGTTATGTTATACATCATTTTAATGCACATTTCTCACTTATTTTTTAGTAATTATCTATTGCTTTCTTTTTTATATTTATTTTAGACTGTGGAAATGATGTTAGACAAAAAGCAAATTCAAACAATTTTCTTATTTGAGTTCAAAATGTGTCGTAAAGCAGTGGAGACAACTGCAACATGAACAACACATTTGGCCCAGGAACTGCTAATGAACACACAGTGCAGTGGTGGTTCAAAAATTTTTGCAAAGGAGATAAGAGCTTTGAAGATGAAGAGCATAGTGGCAGGTCATCAGTTGACAATGACCAATTGAGAGCAACCATCGAAGCTGATCCTCTTACAACTACACAAGAAGTTGCCAAAAAACTCAACATTGACCATTCTACAGTTGTTCAGCATTTAAAGCAAACTGAAAAGGTGAAAAGGCTCAATAAGTGGGTGCCTAATGAGCTGACAAAAAATAAAAAATATTGTCGTTGTGAAGTGTCGTCTTCTCTTATTCTACTCAACAACAAACCATTTCTAGATTGGATTGACATGTGACAAAAAGTGGATCGTGACATGTGACAACCAGCAACAACCAGCTCAGTGGTTGGACTGAGAAGAAGCTCCAAAACACTTCTCGAAGCCACACTTTCACCAAAAAAAAAGGTTTGGTGGCCTGCTGCTGATCTGATGTACTACAGCTTTCTGAATCCTGGTGAAACCATTACCTCTGGGAAGTATGCTCAGCAAATCTATGAGATACACTAAAAACAGCAATGCCTGCAGCCAGCATTGGTCAACAGAAAGGGCTCAATTCTTCTCCATGACAATGCCCCACTGCATGTTGCACAGCCAACACTTCAAAAGTTGAAAGCATTGGGCTTCAAAGTTTTGTCTCATCCACCATATTCATGTGACCTCTCACCAACTGACTACCACTTCTTCAAGCATCTTGACATCTTTTTGCAGGGAGAACACTTCTACAACCAGTAGGATGCAGAAAATGCTTTCCAAGTCTTTGTTGAATCCCGAAGCTCAGATTTTTTATACTACAGGAATAAACAAACTTATTTCTCATTGGCAAAAATGTATTGATTGTAATGGTTCCTATTTTGATTAATAAAAATGTGTCTGAGCCTAATTATAATGATTTAGAATTCACGGTCTGAAACCACAATTATTTTTGTACCAACCTAACATACCCTAAAGCCTCGATCTCCTCTAAAAGACTTCTAGTTCAGATAAATTCTGTAATGTTTCAAGATACAAAATCAACATATAAAAATTAGTAGCATTTCTATATACAAATAACAATCAAGGTGATAATTAAATCAAGAGCTCAATTCCATTTACAATAGCTACAAAACAATTAAGATACCTTGGAATACATTAAACTAAGAAGGTGAAAGATCTCTATAAGAATAACTACAAGATACTTATCAAAGAAATTGAAGAGTACACAAACAATTAGAAAAACATTCCATGCTAATTAATTAGAAGAATCAATATCATTAAAATGACCATGCTGCCCAAAGCAATCTGCAGAGTCAATGCAATCCTTATAAAAACACCCATGTCATTTTCCACAGAATTAGAAAAAACAATTCTAAAATTCATAGAGAACCAAAAAAAGAGCCCAAATAGCCAAAGCAATCCTGAAAAAAATGAAAAAAAAGCTGGAAGCATCATAGTACCTGACTTCAAATTATACTACAAGTAATCCAAACTGGTATAAAAATTGACACATAGATCAGTGAAACAGAATAGAGAACACAGAAATAAAGCCATATACATACAGCTGCTGACAAAACCAACAAAAACATATCCTGGGGAAAGAATACCCTACTTAATATTTGGTGCTGGGAAAATTGGATAGTCATATGCAGAAGTATGAAACTGAATCCCTATCTCTCATTATATACAAAAATTAACCAAGATAAATTAAAGACTTACATGTAAGACCTGAAACTATACAAATACTAGAAATGAATCTAGGAAAAACTCTTCTGGACTTAGGCATAGACAAAGAATTCATTACTAAGACCACAAAAGCAAATGCAACAAAACAAAAATAGACAAACAGGACTTAAATAAACCTAAAAGTTTCTGCACAGTAAAACATATAATCACCAGAATGAATAGACAACTTATGAAAAATATATTTGCAAGCTATGCATTCAAGAAAGGAACAATATCCAGAATCTACAAAAACCTCAATAAACTGAATAAGAAAACTACACATGGCATCATCAAAAAGTAAGCACAGGACATGACCAGACCTTTTGCAAAAGAAATCATACAAATGGCTATCAAGCATATGAAAAATTGCTTAACATCACTAATCACCAAAGATATGCAAATTAAAACCAAAATAAGATACCACCTTACACCAATCAGAATAGATCTTATTAAACAGTGTTGTCAAGAAAAAGGAATGCTTATACGCTTTTGTTGGGAATGTAAATTAGTATAACCTCTATGGACAATTGTAAAGAGATTTCTGAAAGAACTAAAACTAGAACTACTTTTCAACCCAGCAATCCCACTACTGGATATCTGCCCAAAGGAAAATAAATCACTATATCAAATAGATATTTGTACTTGTATATTTGCTGCAGCATTATTCACAACAGCAATGATATGGAATCAACCTAAGTATTCATCAAAAAATGACTGGATTAAGAAAATGTGTATC